AATCCGCATCGAGCCCGCGTTGGGCACAAGAAAGAAACCAATCTTGACGACAGGCGAGGTCTCCAAGGATCCAGCGTCACGTATCGTTCAGGGCACGCCCCAGCAGTAGCGGCCATGTTTTTGCGCACTGGGGGAGAAGCGACGGCACGAACAACACTTTTCGATGGTCCGGCGGATGTCTTGGATCTTCGCTGACCCCCTACAGCGGCGGCTTCAGAGCCGCGCCTGACGCGCTCCGCGCGCCAGGGAGGAGGGGTCCAACGCAGATCCAAGAAATCCGCACGGGCAGTCGAAAGTTTACGTTTTTGCAGGTTCCTGTTCAATCGGGACTGGAACTTCAAGAACGGGGTCAAAATAGGTGGACGTGTTTAGCCCGCCATTGGGCCTCCAGAGATCTCAGGAGACCTCCTCCTCAAGCAAGGCGCAGACGACGAAGGACAAGATGATCTTAGGAGCACGAGCAGAATGATAAGTAGACGCAATAAGGTCAGGGGCTCAACCCAGAACGAACAAGACAATGATGTGATGGTGCTGGAAAGTAAACCCCGAACAATTCGCACATGCACTGACTCTGGGACACTGTGGGAGGACCCTGTCGGCGGCGACCAAAAATCGACCATGACATTCAGGCTGGAACCCTATGTGGCCAGGACCTTTATCGGTGCCCAAAGAGTCCCGGTTTTTGATCACAAGGCCTTACGGCCAGGAAGCCAAGACCCACCGAAAATCTCGGAAGGTCTCTGGAGGTAGGTCTCCAGGTGTCCCCATGGAGGTCCTCGGCGGCCTCCGGGGACCTTCAAGGGACAAGACAAACGCTTCAATGACCCCGATCGTCGGTCTTCGACCACCCTGCAAGACCGTCTTGCCAGGGTCCTCAGGCGGCGGCATCAGATCCTGCAATTTTTCAAACGGAGATCCTCTGTCCTGTGGCAGCGGCTGGAGATCTGGGCGTCCAGCGTCCAGGCCGTGCCTCTCTGGCCAGGCAAGACCTCGTGGCCAGGCCCCGTTGACCAAGAGCGTGCACTGGCGACGCGCAAAATGGGGGAGGGGAGAGGGGGGAAGGCTTCTCAGAAGGAGGCTGCTTCTTAGGAAGCGCCGGCTCTACATGTTTTGGACAAGGTCCGCGACTTCAAAGAAGAAGGCCCTCTTCTGAGAAACCTTCCCCCCTCCCCCTACCCTTAGGTCGGGTCCCCCTACAGGCCGATTTTGGATGTAAAATGAAAATAGTCAAAACATATTCCAAACGTGATCAAAAATACTAGAAACATCGTCCCCAGATTTTTTCTCTAGTCTTGAAGATTCCCCCTGTAGAGGGACAGGCCCGACTTAACCCTACCCCCCTGTGCGCGCCGCCAGCTGTCCGGCCAGGACCCTCGGGCCGCGGCCAGAAGTCCGGCCATGCCACGCCAGGATTCCATGGCCAGGGACGCGTGGAGGCGGCTGGAGATGCGCCCGTCTAGACTCAGGTCAGGCATGTCCCCCGACAGGCGGATCTTAGGCGAAAAATTCGAAGTACTCAAAACATTTTTACACATTGTCAGAACATACTGAAAAACTAGTCCCTGGACCATTCTTTGACTATTTCTGAAATTCCCCCTGTAGAGGGACAGGCCCGACTTAAGTCTAGACCAGTCCAATCAGGTCCATGTTACCAGGGACTCCAGGACAAAGGCCCTATGGCCGGGACCGACGGGCCGCAACGCATATTGAGCAGTGTCGTGTCGACTGTGCCGCTCTTGCGAAATGTTTCAGAGAGCGTTGCAGTTCGGGGCCAAAGAGGATGCAACATCTCACGATCCAGCGTGACATCTCTTGTACGCCGCGCCTTACGGCATTCGCTGACAAGACTGAGGGTGTTCTTTTGAAAATTGCAATAATGGTCATGCTTCGGCCTAGTGGTGGCCAACCCAATACGGGGCGTGCCGTCATGACATTACAACTGGCGGGCCAATAGAACGTCAAGTGCATAACACCGTAGCGAACAGGTGGCGCAGACGAGCAGTGTAGAGGGGCAGCGCGATCCTCTGGCGACAAAGAACCCATACTGCTCCACACACCCGATCCGTCCAACCAGGCCTCCTGCCATGTAGGTCAAGAGCACAATATGGGCTCCAAAAACCCTGAACCAACGAATCGTAGCAACTCTGGGAAGCCGATCTTTACTTCCGCAAGCCTCCGTCAGCCTTGTTTTACTTCCGCTGGCCTTCCGCAACCCTCCGCCGAGGAAGTGAGAGGCCAACTCCTTTGATCCTCCAAGGCGAGGCCCCGGCCTGGAGCGCCCCACCATCAGGCCAAGACCGCGTGGCCAGAGACCCCACGGCGGCGCCGCCCGGGCACGACAAAACCCAACACGCCGGCAGCCCCGCAAGCCCGCACCGCTCCACTGGACCGCCTCGGAACTCTCGCCCCGCCCGGAGCCTCGCACCTCTGGGCGCGCCGCCGAACCCTGAGATCCGACGTCACGAAACAGAGGAACACCGTAGCCAAAACCCCCACACCAGAGCCCTCTATAGACCCCATCTGTGCTGTGGCATCCTTCGAGCGGGAGCGATCTGTGAGGGTCCAGGGGCCCGAAGCCCGGCGGAGACGCGCGGCCTCGAGGATCGCCAAAATCCCAAGGGTCCTGTCGCGATTCCTCCGGGACTGGAGTTAGGTCGGGCATGCCCTCCTATAGGCGGATTCTGGACGATTTTCTTTTTTAGCCAGCTATCGTCCGACTATGTTTGAACATTCCTCCTGCAGAGTGACATCGTTTCCAGGGCTCACTAAGTCATGGAAGCCTCCCAGACCATCTTGTTGGCCCTCGCGACTCGGCGCTCATCGACACTCTCGAAGGGTCTGTGCGCGCCGCCGAAGGTAGGACGAAGCCAGGACGAGGCTAAACTCCGGTACGGATACGTCGAGAATATCCAAGATCCTGCGGCTCTGAAAGGTGTCTCGGGCGCCGCTGCCTTCTCAGAGCGTTCCGGAACACTCTGAGAGCGTCCCGGAACGCTCTTGAGCTGATATCCATCCTCGCCCCAACCCTGTCCGACCCACTTGGCATGGGGGAAGCGGGTGCTGAGGGAAACGAGGCCGGGGCCCCGGGGCACTCTCCCCCAGGAAGAGCTCTTCCTCCTGAGCCGTTTTCTGCATCCAGGTGCCGACGGAGGGCTACGTTGCTCCCATTGTACTTAAGGACCACATCCCAGAAATAATGTTGAGCACCAATAACAATATCGAAACACTGTCGAACGACTATCGCCTCCCAGGGCCCGACACGTGAAAACCCTCTGGCGTTGGGATTTCCTTGGTGTTCGGATTTGCTGCTCCTGGTGATACCAGGGCTAGAAAGTGGGTTGGAATGCCATAACATCAAGCGGAAGGCCCCCCGAGAGCCCCACAAAACGGCGAAACGCCTCCGGGACCCGCTGGCCTCAGGACCCGAGAGAAGAGGGAGCCAGCGGCCGCACCGCCTCGGCGGGGCCGGCCGGGCTCCGGCGGCGCCCGTGCCCCCCGGAACTGCGACGGCGCGAACCGGCGGAGAGGTCGCGAAAATTACCACCTCGACCTCCTCGTCCTCCTCGTCTTCCTCCTCCTCCTCCTCGTCCTCCTCCTCCTCCTCCTCCTCCTCCTCCTCCTTCTCCTCATCCTCCTGGACCCCCCTCGTGTTCCTCGACCTCCTCGTCCTTCGTTCTTCCGCCTCGTCCTCCTCCTCCTCGTCCTCCTCGACCTCCTTTTCCCCGTCCTCCTCGAACTCCTCGTCATTATCGACCTCCTCGTCGCCCACGGAAATCCGACCGACAGCGCGGAAAAGATGAGACGTCGCAAGAAATCACCACCAGAGCCCTCGAGCCCATCTATTATGTGGCATCCTTCGAGCTGGAGCGATCTGTGAGGGCTCGGGAACCCAAGCCTGGCGAACACGCCGGGCCCGAGAGAGCTGAGACGCCGGGATCTCAGGGCCCTCCTCTCCCCCGACAAGGCTTCGGGCTTCGCACGGGTAGCATAGCATCTCCCTGGGCAGCAGGGCTCGAGCTGCCACGCGGAGCGCTGAAGGAGACCCACACCAAGCACCAAGGCTGAACCTAAACGCTGTTTTTCGTGTTCGTTTTGGGTTCGTTTTCCCTCGTTATGTCTTCCATCCGTCTCTGCAGCAAAGTGAAATCGTAAAGACAACGGCCCACGAAATCGCAAAAATACCGTTTAGGCCCAGCCCTACCAAGCATAACCAGACTACCGCAAGACAACGAGCACCAACGCAGCGAAGCGGAACGCCACGCGGGGCGAGGCATGCGAGGGCGCACGACCATTTCCTGACCTATCTGGGCGCGGCGGCTCAACACCCCAGACGCGGGAGCTGAGGAATGGATAAGTTACGTGTGTGTGTGTGTGTCACACGGGATTGTTGCGATGTTTGTTTGTGGCGCGCCTGTGCCCCTGGAAAAACATCTGCGTGGAAGGCTCCAGCCTCCAGCCCCGAAAAAAAAACCCTCACGGAAGCGTGCTGCTGTTTGGGATGCCGATGTATGTGTCCCATCGGCCTCCGAGACAGTAGTGGACAATGGGGGTCGTACTTTGCGGCGTGACGCGCGCGCAAACGCCCGCCATCCTCTCAGACTCTTTGCCCACCAATCCCCACTCTAGAAGGACCCCTGCCCTACACCTAAAGTCATCGCGCTACCAAGAGAAAAGCTGAAGAAAAAACGAATGGGATATTCTACGCCTAGGGGCATCGTGCTGCCGCGAGGACCCCCCCACACAAAAACAAACAAACAACAACGTTTTTTTTGTTTTGTTTTTCTTTTCTGTGGCCGCGGCGAGCATCGGCCATGAAGAGGCTCTCCGACCCAGGTGCACAGCAGGAGCTCGACCACAAGAAACCTTTCACAGCAAACCCAACCCTGGGACCCCAGGACGTCCAATGCTCTCTGGCGTGGGAACGTCAAGATGTCAATGGCAAAACCGTCGAAGACCACGACACCCAGGGCACCCTGGAGGCAGGTAACATGTACCTTTTTGCCGGCACAACCTTGAAAGAACAGAACTTCGACGGGAAGGTCATGCAGGCAGAACCCCCGAGAGCGCAGAACAACCGCGCAGGGTCTCTGGCAGCCTATGCCACTCGCATACCGCAGCGCTACCGCCGCAGCTCATCAAGGGGGATAGCTGTCCGAACCTAGGCCGCGCTGCACATGGAAGGAACACATGCGAAGCGCGACGCTGAAAAGGAGAAAAGGGGCCCATGCCGCAACACGCAGCTAGGCCCGAAAAGAAGCCTCCCTCAGTCCCACAGCTCTGGGAAGCGGAGCGCTTCGTCCTTCGCCCTGGCTACGAGCTGCTCCATAATCCACTCGAGGCCCGCACGCTGGTGCTCTGCGTTGGGCACCTCTGGCGGCTCGGTGTCGCGGTCCGTCTCCCAGCCAGGCCTGCGAAGGCTGCGCTCCAAGTCTAGCAGCTTCCGCTGCTTCTTCTCCTTGCTGTTGACCGTACGGAAGCCAGCGGCCGCGGCAACCTGCAGCGCCCCCGCTACTTCGCACTCCGTGCTGATCCCCCCGTCGAGCACATCCAAGTCGAAGGTCTTCACCAGCTCCACGGGGGCGACCTTCATGGCGTGCTCTCCTTGTTTGTCTCGTTGGCAGGCTCCTGCTCCTGCAGTTTGGATCGAGCCCTGGCCTGGCGCCAGCGCCGCTTCTTTAGCGTCCCACTCGAAGGAGCCGAAGGGGCTGGCGCCAAGTCCGCACTCGCTGGCTGCCTCCAAGGCGGGTCCGACACTGGGGACGCCGTGCTGCCCTGCACTTGCACCAGCGCCAACGCCAGCTCTTCCTGCTGCTTGCAGGTCCGAACCAGCTTCAGGTGCAGAAAGATATGTTCCTTGTTCCTCTGCTGCTCGCTTGGGGGGGGCGCCGTCAGGCAGGGCGCCAGCGGTACCTCCGACCGCACTGGCAGTCCCACCTCTTGCTGCTCCCTCTCCGGGGGCCTTGGGCTCCACGAGCCGGCCATGGTCCTCGGGCTCCGCGACCTGGCCCTGGACTCCACCGTCGGTGCCTGCTGGGTCTCCGCCTGCTCCCACTGCGGCTCCGTGACCTTTGCCCGCGCCAACTGCTGCTTGTACTCCTTCAGAACTGGCGAAGGGGGCTGCCTGGGTCAGTGGAAGGGCTTTGGGGGCAAGCCCGCCGAGGAGCTGAAGGAAGGACTCCTTGATCTCCTCGACTTTAGCCTCAGCATCGCACCCTGGGTCCGCTGGGGCGCTGACGCACGCCGTGAGCGACTCCACATCGCGCTGGGCCTTGGAGAGCGCGAGTTCGACGATGGCTGCATCGTGGAGAACTAGCACCTTCACCTGCTTGTCTGCCAGCGCCGCGGCCGCCTCGCCGAGGCACTCGAGAGGGCAGACAACTTGCATCAAACAGCCACCTGATGGCTCTCAGCCGCGAAGCCACTTTCAAGTGCGCGACTGAAACACTTGAGCCACAATGACTACGGCTTGGGCCAAAATGGCTTGAGCCAAAATGTCTTGAGCCAAACTGGCTACGGAATAAACGTAACATGTATCTTGACATGGGCCCCCGCCGTAAGGAACGACCCGAGAGCCAGCACCCTTCCCGAACCCAACGTTGCCTGTGTTGCAACGCCGTTTTTTAACTTCTATAGGCCGACCACAAGGATAGTACTACTTCTGTTTTAGAAGATAACGCCGCTGCATAAAACAATAACCGCATGCGGAGGATATTGAGGGGCACCCCCCCTTCACTCCCTCTATCTCTAGGTAGGGCCCCATATAGGCGGATATTGAGCGAAAGCAAGTGTCCAAAAATAAAACCAAATAGCCAAAAATGCCAAAAATGATGGAACAATTGTCCCCAGACTATTTGTTGATTAATCTGTAGAGGGACCGGCCCGCCTGAACTCTATCTGACTAGCCACGGGGTGTATGTGGGTTCAAGTTGCCATAAGAAGCGCGGGGGGCGAACGGTGGGTGAACTTTATGCTCACTCCCAGAGTCCCAAAGTTCGCATCGCCACTGTGACCTTCACATCAGGCAAAGCACAATGAATAGATTCGCAAGTCCGCGAGGATGTGCGAAGCGAAGCCCAAGTTTTCGAAGATTCGCTGAGTTCGCGACCAGCATCCTTTCAAGGACCGAGAAGAGGAGGAGAAACAGAAGAGAGCAGGAGAGAAGAGAAAAGAACAGAAGAAAGGAGGCGAGCGAAGATGAAGAGGAGACAGGATGAGTGAGGAGGAAAAGAGGAGGAAGGATTGGTTGTTTAAGCGAAGCCGTACTTAATCACCTCAAAAACAAGGAGTGGTCCTGCACGAATGAATACGTTTGCAAGATAGAAGTCGATTGATCGGATAACTTGTATTGTTCTGGGAGCCCTTCTCCTACTCTTCGTTGCTCTTCATTGCCTTCTCTTTCACTCTCCTTTCTCTTACTTATCTTCAGTCTCTCGCTCGGTAATCCTCTTACTCCTATTTCTCCCCTTCTTTAGTTATCCTCTTTCTCCTATTACTCCTACTCCTTCGAACAAGCTTCAGGGGAAGGCTTCTCTAGATCAGCTTGGAAGTCATTCCAAAACCATCCAGACATCCCAACATCGATACATCTGGAACACATCATTACCCTCTCCTCATGACCCCGAAATGTATTACCATCATGGTGAGATTTTCACCAGCACAGGGTTACGGTCTCAACCCGAAACTGTATAAGAACATTTCGCGCAAACCACTAAGAGATACCAGAACATGCTTTGGTGGGCCTGCACACACGCCCAGACGCCTCGCCACTGCTTCAGGCTTGACTGTGCACCGATCCTCGTCGGGCCAACCCTAGGTGCAGAATCGGTGTATGCACCCCCTTGGCTTGGCCATGAACAAGGCGCGAGCGAAATTGTTCCCCGCATACATTTTGTTTTGGGTGTCCCGCATCATGTTTCTGGTCCGACTGTGCTGGAAACGGAGTCAAACCGAAAACGGCCCACGAAGTCGCCAGGGCACCCCTCACCTCGCGCCCTGGCCAGGAATACGCAGCGGATTTCGACCGATCCTCGGCCCAGGATTGGTCTGGCCAGGGCTATTGCATGGAAGACCAGAAAACGACATACGAATGACCTGTCAGAGGTCCGTTCCGATTTGTCTGGCTGCCGCTGTGCTGAGGGGCAACGACAGGGGGGGAAGGGCATAGGGGAGATGCATCGACCTGGAATCGGCGATGCATCGCCGATAGATCGGCGATAGGCCTGCGATCGTGAATCCGCACCTTCCTAGGCAGGTTGGGGCTATCGGGCCCCTATCGGCGAGCAGTGGGCGATTGGGTCGATGCACACCCCCCTGTGCCCATCCCCTCCTATCGTTGCCCCTGATATGCCCCGCCTCCCCCCCTCACCCTTGCCCCGCCGCGCGGGGAGCGCTCCGAGAGGCCCCGGAGGCGTGCAGGGGTGCGGCGAGCGGGCCCAACGGCCGACCCAAGAGATCCGCGCGGGCCTCCGAAATGGTGGGCTGAAGTGCGCAGTTGTTTTCGCATTCCTGAGTATCGTTTAACAGATCCACATCCCCAGCGGCGTGGCCTGGGCCCCACTAGCCGATTTAGCCCCCTAGATGGGGATATAGGCCGTTCCCTTCGGGTTTCGAGGGATGTATCCCCAACTGGGGTGGTGATTTGGTGGGGGTCTCGAAGAGGACGAGGATGGGGATGGGGGTCGATTAAACGAAATTCCATGTCCTTGGCGCGGGGAGTCCTGGTGGAAAGGTGTCCTGGGTCCTGGTTGTAATGGGAGCTGGGCCATGGGGCTTTCATGGCACCCAGCGGGGCCTGATTATCCCAAGGCGATCATCCGTCGGTCCCGTAGCAAATGAACGGCCTGGGGCCACCAAGAAAGACTTCAAGACCCCCATGACCCCCTTCCTCAAAGACCATTTCAATGTTGTTTTGCCTTCTCGCCTGTTTCGCTTCCGATGTAACACGAAATCACGATGAGAGCAGATCGGGATGCGGATGAAACGGGAAATCTCAGGGAACGGGCGGGTCTGGAATGTGTGTACGTGTGTACACGCATCACGTGACATTTCCCAAGCAATTCTGGCACCTAGGGGCTCTTGCTCCTGTTCTAAGGAGCCGGGCCCTGTCTTCGGTCTGGTGGCTATGCGGCGACAGTCGCCGTCCAATCGCCGCATCGTCGACGCCCGTCGCCTGGGTCGTGTATTCGGTCTGGCAGTCATCTGGCCGCCGTCGCCGCCCCGTTGCCGCGACGTCGCCGCAATTGGATGTTGCATTGCACCGTGTATATGGTTCGAGAACGGATTCGAGCCTGCGGCGCGCAATCTGATCGCTCACAACATAGTTTGCACCACGTATACTGCACAGCAACGATTGTGCCACGTAGACACAACATATGTTGCACCACATCGATTGCACTGCATGCGTTGCACAGCCCAAATTGCACCACACAGGTGCCCAAGAGATTGCACACATATTGCACCACACAGAATGCACCACCCAGACTCCCGCGCAAAGAACGGCACGAAATGCACACGCGCGCGCCGTCGCGCGCGGATGCCGAAATCCTTCAAAAACCGTGGTTCCGAGGTAATTTCAAAATCGAGCGTCCCGAAAACAGATCAATCATCATCTGGTTTCGCAACAAGGATGTTCAAAACAAGCTTGCGCTCGCGCTCTTGCGGATGTTTAGGAAAACCATTGTTTGTGTCAACATTGTCACCAAATGCTACCAAGCGGGCCTCTCGCGCGAACATGTCGAAATCGCAGAACGCCCTTGCGCGCGTGCTGTCGCAAGAACCTCTTGCAAACAAATCGTACGACATGCACACGCGCGTCAACGCGCGCGCATGCCGGAATCCTGCAAACAACCTGCGTTTCGCAAGGATTTCAAAATCGGCTGTCCCGAAACACATCAAAACATATGGCTTCCCAACGAGGATATTCAAAATTTAACTTGCGCTCGCGCTTCTGCGAAAGCTTCAGAAAATCATAACTGTTCACTAGATGGATCAGATGCTACCAAAGGGGCCTCTCGCGCGGGCATGTCGAAATCGCAAGACCACCACTGCGCGCGTGCTGTCGCAATACTCCCATACATATAGGTTACATGAGTATAGGGGGCACCATGTAGATTGTACAACCTAGATCTGTAAGCACATGGACATATACACAACTATATGCACATACATCTAATTCAGATGCGTGCACGTACCTATGTGTGTACATATGTAGATATTGCATCACGCATGTAGTGCACCACTTATATCGGATCCAGCCCCCAAACAAGAACTCCCACAGTACCCTTCGCGTGCTGTAGTTTACTTATGCTTATGCCGGACCGTCCATCCTACAGATGCACTCGTATCGTCCCAGCTAGACCGATCTCACCCCCCCCCACCCCAACACCCTCTGCAGAAAGCACGATGCGCGCACACTCTTTTATAACAATGAACATACGTTTCCAAAATGGTTTCACACGGTGTCCCTTTCATGGCGCGCTCCTCGCGCCAGGGAGGGAGGCCCTCGCGCCATGGAAGGGAGGCCCAGCGCCGATCCTGGAAAGCCGCGCGGAACTCCAAGAACTCATGCTTATGCCGCCCTATCGCCTTCGGAGAATGCCCGCCCTCGAATTCCCACTCCAGTACCGTCTGACGACGACGACGCCGCCGCCGCCACCGACCGCCGCTCTTGGGGGCCGCGGCCCAGGGCGGCGGCTGACTACCTACCAAACCACCCCAACGCATCCCGAAGACCCGAATTTGGCCCGAATTTCGGGCCGGGGGGGGGGGGGGTACGAGTTCCAGATGTGTTTTTGTCCCATGTTCCCCGACCCCCCCCCCCACCCCTGGACATGGAAGGCCACTCGAAGCCTTCGGGTTGGGTTGGGCTGGTTTGGCGGGCGGTGAGCGGCGGCCGGCCGCCGCCGGTCGCGGGGGCCGAGGGGCGGGCGCACCTGGCTGCAGCGGCCGAGGGCGCCGGCCTCGTCGCGCTCCCGGGCGCGGTCGTCGCGAGGGCCCCTGGAGGGCCTACGGCGGCGGGAGCGGCGCGAGCTCCGACGGCGGTGTTTCGGCAACGCTGTCGGCCGTCTTCCTGCGGGAAGGCAGATCCGGGGGCGCGCAAGCATGGATCAGCGATCCATGGATTTGGCGCGCGGTCGCCTAATCCATGGATCGTGGGAGGTGCCCTATCCAAAATGCCGCCGGTGCCGCCTCGCTCGGCGGCGGAGATCGGCAATGTCCCTTGGAAACGGGACCCGTCGCTAATCCACGCCCCCTTGATCCATGTCTGCGATCGCCCGACAAATGCCTCGGGTCGGGAGGATGGGGTTTGGGAAGATGCAGGGCACGGCTGCGAAATAAACACAACCGGCCTACGCGATGAGACGCCTGCTCTGGCCATCTCTCCCGGCCCCCTCCTCCCAACCCGAGATTTGTCTTTCCGACTCCTCCGACTCCGGCGTCTGGGTGGCGCTCCTCGGCTCCCCCGAGGCCATCAAATAGCTGGATCCGGGAGGCGGGTCGGG